TTGTCTCCTCGTTCCGACGCGAACCGGCATGCGCGGCCCGAAGTCTCGCAGCTGGCCCCTGATTGTTTCGATCCGCGCGCCTAACGCCCGCTGATCCGCTTCGTTTTCGTAAAAGTTGAATCTGGCGTGCTCCGGTAGAACGACCGTTGCTTGGAAGCCGTGATCCTGTCTTGTACGCTGGTGCGGGCACGAAATAATGTCGTGTCCGCTCGCCAGGGCGTCGTGCAGTTGATCTTCTACGAGTCCCACCGCGCATCGAGTGTGGTAGTGACATCCACAGGGCGGAGACATGGCAGCCCCTTGACCTATTGATTCGTGACAAACTCCGCAGAGATGGCGAGGCGCGTGCGTTTGACTCGCCTCCCGTGCGGTCGAGCGAGCCACGTCCCTCTCCGATCTCGCTGCTCGAAAAGCATCAGAAACTACGTCGTTCCCGTGCTGCTGTTCCAAGCTGGTACTCGTCTCTGAGATGGTGGACCCTATACGGCACATGGGGCAGTGGAGGGTATCGCCCACTTCCCGCACGCATGCCCTCGCATAGCAGCCCACACACATCGCATGACCGCAGCTAACGAGGTTCACAGACGGTTCGCTGACATCTCCTAAACAGATGCCACACACCAGTGGTTCAGTAGGCGCTGCTGCCGTTTCCGCGGTGGCCGAAGAAGGCGTGTGTTCCGGCGAGGCCAGCGCTGTAGTTGGAGACGTGTCCCGAGGCTGGGCGACTGTCCGTTGCTCCGGCGAATGCGACGAACACTGTTCCCGCCGGGGGGGACGCTCCTCTGACTGCAATTGCTGCGATGGCGTCGACCGCTCGGGGGGCAGTGCAGTCGGGCGACCCGTTGGCTGGGCTAGATCGCTGGTATCCGTCTGGGCCAGGGACTGCGGGGCCACTCGGTCGACGTGACGAGTTTCGGGGGAACTGCCCCCCTCCGAAGGAAGAGAGGGCCCTGACTGCGGTTGACTTGGTGTGATGAGGGTAATCGGGACGGCGGGCCACGTGGGGAGCAGGTCTGCGACTTCCCCAACTGCAGCACTTGCTACGTCCGTTCTTCGGCCCGAGGGGGGAGCAGAGTCTCCCCGGCGTGCCTCGGGAGGTGTCTCCCCGGTGTCTGCCTCGGGGGGTGTCTCCCCCGGGTCTGCCCCCGGCAAATCCCCTTCCTCGGCGTGGCCTCCTCGCGGCCTACTTCCTTCTAGGGGTCGACTTCGTGCGCACGGTGGTTCTTCTGGCGCTGCATTAGCGGTCGGGAAAGGGTCGAGGCCCAGTCTTGGTGCGCGGTCGGTGACGCCTTGTGCGCTTGCTGATGTTTGGACAGGGGGGGCGGCAGATACCTGACGCCCGACCACGGCGCTGGTGCGCGACCGAGTTCTCGTCGAGATGCGGCCCTCGTTGGCAAACCCCTGGTCCCGAGTCCCGTCGACGCCCTCGTCCGAGCGCCTCGTCGCTGCCAGCCGAGCAGATGGGAGGGTGGGTTGGTCTGCCGGGCTCCGTCCCTCCCGGGTATTTGGCGGAGCTTCTCCGCTGGAACCGGAAGTGGGAACCTCCGACGGTTCGGTGGGAGACTCCGGCATCGGCGATCCCACGTCCACGCGAGCTGTTAACTCTCCCGACAAAGCTGATACGTCCGTGCGCGGCGGGGTCGACAGGAGCTCTAGCGCCGCTCCTCCCGATGGGGCAGCCGCGGACAAGGCAATCTCCGAGAATCCCGGCGGCCGGCGGGCTGGAGTCAACGTGGGCGTCTCAGAAGACGCGAGAGCCGGACCGACCGGCGTAGTCACAGAATCCGTGTGTGTCGTAGCGCGCCGCACGCGCAACCGTGTCCTTGATGAGATATGGCTACCTAATGAAGGACCTAGGCTCCCAACAGTACCTACGTCTCCCCCGACCGAAGCCCCTCGTGCCGCCAAGACAGGTGGGAGGGGACGTGGAAAGGCCGCCCCCGCGGCCTCTCGGGTGCTACGGGTAGAAGTCCTGACGACCGCGCGCGCGATAGAACCTTGGGGGGAGGCTACTAATGACGGCGCAACCGCGCCGGGCTGGGGCGGATCGACGTCCATGCTGTCAGCCACACTATTTGTATCCCTCAGAACAGCCGCATCGGGTGAAGCCGGCCGCGGTGAAGCCCCCGGTAGCGCTGAAGGGGTGCCTGTCGGCCGGGTCCTCTCTGAAGAGCGCGGAGGGTCCGGCATCTGTGGCCCCGGATTGGGTGGCGCCGCCACAAGAGCTCCCTCCCGAGAACTGCCGGGGGTCGATGCTCGTGGTCTCGCGTGATGCCCCGTAGCCGACGCGCAGACGCTCGTGCGCTGGGACGAGTGCCTAGGCCGTGCGGCTGTGACTCGTAAATCTGCTGATGCCATCGTTTGCCTGTCTCTGTTAGCTGCCGGTCTACGATTGGCCAGCGAAACCTCCGCTCCTGCACGAGCTCGCGGTGGAAGGGGTGGAGCGCTCTCGTGCGCTCCTCCCGAACTTGTACCACGTCGACGCGGTGCTGGAACCGAGGTCCCGATGGGCGGCGCGACCCCGGGGCGCCGCCTTCCCCAGTCACTGGAACGATCCGTGTGTGAATCCTGCTCACGCTGGCCAGTCCTCGCGAGTACCATCTGCTGGAATGGCGACCTCACGAACCGCAAGATGCCAGCGAGAACCCCTCGTTGGTTCTCCCTCGCCTCACCGCCCGCCGGCCGATGAGAAGCATTTCGGCGACCCAAAGCAATTCCGTGTCGAGGCCGCTGCGGCGAAATACGCGTGCTCGGAGAAAAGGACACTCGAGGCCGCTGCTGAGGTCGGTCCGGAACACCCCCATCGAGCGACGCTGACCTCCTCCTCCTCCGGAGGATACCTGACAGCTCGGCTGTACCCTCAGCGCGTCGAGGTGAAGGCGAGAGATGTCGGGGTCGCGACCGGGGCCGCGAGGACGCGGACCCGGAGGACCCTGAGCGTCGTCGGCTTGATCCTGTCATGCGCGGCGGGAATGCGCTCGACATGTGTGGTCCGCTGGCCAACTGTCGCGTAGAAGCACCTATGTCTTCCCCTGCTGTGCCCCTGCCGACGTTTCCGGCCCTATCGGCCGTCTCTAATGCCGACTCCTGTTGCAACCCCCCCACCCGGCAAAGTGCTCGACATCCGTCGTCCTCTCGCGTGGCAAGCTGCCACGCTGGAACAGTTCGATGCAGGCCCCGCCCTGCCGACTGAGAGCCCTGAGGCAAAGACCTCTCGGTGGCGCAGCTTCCGTTGTTTGCACGTCCGGCAAGCTGCCACGCCGGGACAGTCCGATGCAGGCCCCTCCCCGCCGATTGAGAGCTTGGAGGTAAAGACCTCTCGGCGGGTGCCATAACCAAGCCCCGCAAACAGGAGGGGCTGTTCGCCCCCGCCTCGCCACCTCGCCGCCCGCTGCCGCTCCTCACGCTTCCGCTTGACGCGGATACGGCGTGCCGCTGCAGCCCGCCGAACTGGCTATTGGTACTGGTACCGCCTAGTCCCCGTGCGACCAGCCAAGCCGGCATAGTCATTGCGATGCCGCGTCCCTGCGACCGAGAGCCCGGCAAACGTCGTGGGGCCCCAACCGATGGAGCGTGGGCGCGCGCGTCCTGCCCCGACGACGTGCGGTTGTTCCTTTCCTCTGTACGGGGTGTCCCTCTGGTGGTGTCCCACGTTCCTCTCTGTCCCGACTCGCTCGCTGTGTTCACGGCGATGCGAACGNACTATTGGTGCTGGTACCGCCGAGTCCCCGCACGACCAGCCAAGCCGGCATAGTCATTGCGATACCGCGTCCCTGCGACCGAGAGCCCGGCAAACGTCGTGGGGCCCCAACCGATGGAGCGTGGGCGCGCGCGTCCTGCCCCGACGACGTGCGGTTGTTCCTTTCCTCTGTACGGGGTGTCCCTCTGGTGGTGTCCCACGTTCCTCTCTGTCCCGACTCGCTCGCTGTGTTCACGGCGATGCGAACGGAGCGGCGCCGTTGCTGACGCTGGGAAGCGCCGGTATCGTCATCCGGTGATCGACCGGGTGGCCGTCGTTGTTGACGACGTCCTCGGCCGTCCATGTCTGGCGACGAAACGAAAACCGGACCATAAATAACACAAACCTGGCCCCCGTTTGGTGCAAGCGTCGTCCGACTAGCACGCGTGCCTCTCGAGCTCCGACGTCAGCCGACCACCTCGACGAACCTCGTTGCTCGTTCCGCCGCTGCCACGACACTCTCGCGATGACCCCTATCCTCCGCGAGCGCTGCTACTGCTGCTGTAGCCGTGCAAATGAGCAACTGATTCCATTCATTGTTAATCTGTCTCTGGCTATTTTCTATGATAGAGATGGACTCGTTGCGTCATATACATTACGAAAAATAAAATGAAATAAAAGGAAACAGTAGGCCATTTATTTGTTACGATGTCTCTTGGACTTTTTTTAGGCTGTCTTTGTTTCAAAAATGACAACTGGCCAAATAGCCCCGTGACATAGGCCGTCAATCAAGTAAAAGGTTCGTTGTCACGTTTTAGCAAGAAAAGACGTTGTAACGCGGGGCCATTTGGCCAGTTGTCATTTTTTGAAAAAAAGACAGCCTAAAAAAAGCCTAAAAACATGGTTAGGACTTAATAAGGTCATTTGTTACGATGTCTTTTTTAGGCTGTCTTTTTTCCCAAAAGAGACGACCCAACAAATAACAACAATAAATATTACCCCCTGTGTTACGACGTCGTTTTCTGAAGGTGGGGTTTCTTGATGATTTTCAACGGCGTTCGGCGTGCGGGAGCGAACTGATTTTTGAATTTCCGCCTTCACCCACGCCACAGACCGCGCACAGCACAAAACACAACGCCCCTCTGCACCAGCTCCTCTGCATACAGCCACATCCCGTAAAGCAGACCATGGATGCTATGAAACTAGATGGCGTACAGTCTCTTCCGCTGGAGTTCAACTCGTACGCCGAGACAGTGATTTCGATGCTGCGGGACAGGACCTCCGGCCTGACGGACTCCAAGTTGCTGAAGCACCTCCAGAACGTGTGCATCGTGTACGCGTGCTTTGGCGGTGAAGCGCAACGCCGGGATTTCCTCCACACAGGCCAAGCACGCGGCAGCGGCGCAGGGGTACAAGGACATTGCTGTCCCTGGCTTCTTCAAGTGGCTCCAAGCAAACTTGGACAAGGAGGATTTCTTCTTGCAGCCGTGGCTCACGTTCGAGGTCATGGGGAAGACGTCCATGAAGGGAGGTAAGACACAACCAACGCGGGAGAGAGGCAGGTTTCGAGTGCGAAGACAACCGTCTTGAGGGAGAGGGACTGGGCGCGAGTGTGTACCTGACCCTCTGCGCCTTCATGATGTGCTGTTGAAAATGACATGCTCTACGTAGGATGTAGGGCGTATGGTCTGGCCAAAGGTTGTTTTTAGGTTGCAGTCAGGCCACGACGGGCTGCTGCAGCAGCAAGAGGAACCATCATGCTGCTGTAGGATACCTTGTTACCGCCCATCATTTGAGCGGCAACCACAGGATGCAACCCGACACCAGTGTACCAGTCTGTGCGTAGCCTTTCGGGCCTCAGTTGTATGGCAACCGAAGCCCGCCCATTTCCTGGAGCATTAACGTAAATGACACAAGATACCACACCCCCTTGACCGATTTTCAAAGCTCGATTACTCCACGACAAAGGGGATGCACGAACGGAACGGTGCATTTTCGGAAATCTCTCGATGAGACGGCTTCAACGCCGCCATTGCTGTCACTGTGACTGCTTTTGCTGCTGAGGAATGGGCCTTTGAAAATCGGTCCAGGGGGTGTGGTATCTTGTGTCATTTGTGGTACTCTTATTGAGAGGCATGGCGAGCAATGTTTGTAGTCTACAGCACGTCATCCAGCAGTAGGTATGTCACATGTTTGATTTGCTGCTACTGCTGACCATTAACTGCTACTGCTGTTCGACTGCTGTTCGACTTACCTACCCTATGTTACTGCGACGCAGGCGCGGTCCTCTTCACCGACGGCGAAAAATTGTNCGAGCAATGTTTGTAGTCTACAGCACGTCATCCAGCAGTAGGTATGTCACATGTTTGATTTGCTGCTACTGCTGACCATTAACTGCTACTGCTGTTCGACTGCTGTTCGACTTACCTACCCTATGTTCTGTCTCTTATACACATCTAGATGTGTATAAGAGACAG